TTCCCTGCCTTCACCCTTCTTTTTATCCAGCTGAAAACACTCCAGATGAAAAGGGGGGTGAAGGTGAGAGGTTGGGCAATGGCTTCAGCCCTAATGCCTGTTCCCACAACATTGGGGCCCTTCCTTCCATCTGTCTTACCTCAGGGTGGACTTGGAGCCCCACTTAACCCCAGAGGTGTCACTTAAAAGGTGGGGCCCACCTCATGGTCCCCAACTCTGCCTGAGCCAAAAACATGACATTGGCTTCCTCCTAGGCAACTCCAGATCTGTGAGAAGGTCTGTACCACTCTCATGAAACATCCAAAACACCCCAGACCGTGATCTGTAACAAGCGTGGTAGAGACCTTCAGGTGGTCTGGGCACCTGTAAATTAGCCCGACTGCACAGAGGATGGAGACACAGGTGAAACTGAGACACACAGCAGTTCCATCCCCGAAGCCCCACTGGCTTTATTAGTCCCTGACGCTGCCTGTGGCATGGCCCCCCCTCATCGTGTGATGGGCAGGTGGCGCTACTTGAGAAGTTTCCGCATGGTGCTCAGAGACGCACCCCGGTACTGCTGGCCGAAGTGGTTCCAGTGGTTTAGGTAGTTGAAGAGCTGGTAGAGCAGCAGCCGCCGGTCGAACCCTGGCGCCTTGGGGACCTTCTGGTAGTAGGCAGTGAAGAAGGGCCTGGGAAACCCCCCAAACATCAAGGCAATTGCCAGTTCAAACTCCGAATGGCCGTAGAAGGAAGCCGGGTCGTAAATAATGGGCCCCGAGTCGTCCTCGGCCACATTTCCTGACCAGAGGTCCCCATGGAGAAGGGCAGGGACAATCTCTAGGCCACAAAACAGATCCGGGATCTTCACCTAAGAAAACAGTCATCGGACACACAGGTATCAGGGGACCAAGAGCCACAGTCTCCTTGTCAGATACCTGGAAATAGGCAAAGATGGCCCATTGTGTGCTCAGGGTCCAACACGGCGCTGCCCACAAGGGCCAGGGACAAAGACCCTCCCACTGCAGGGGAGTGTCACTGTGTCACTACTGACTGCGGGCTCAGGCCCAGATTGGCACCATGCCAGCGGTTCCCATGCAGGAGAGAACCTGGAGGTTCTGGTTTCATTGTCCCGTAGAACGGGAACTGTGCAGCCCAGGTGGGGTTTCCTGGACGTAACTTAGCAAACTTTCTCTACTAGTCTCGTATTTCACAGCGCATGCGTGTCTGCACCAATTTTGTATCCTACGGGTTACTACATTAGTGAGCTAAATAATATTTCTTCAACGCATGTCAACCCCAGATTGATATATGAGTTGTTTTTAACATTTTGACTTATGTTTTGAAAGCAGACCCTCTGGGGCATCTGCTGCCCGCATCTCTAAGAGGTGAACCATTCATGCTTTGGCAGAAAAGAACAGGATAAAAGTGGAAGAGAAAGTAACAGTAAATGCCAACATTTACGAGCCAGGCTCCTGTGTTCCTCATGAGCTGAGTCTGAGGTTAAGTACCTGGTGACCTAGCGGGTGAGAGGTACACGAGGGCCAGGTATGTCCTCAGGTCCCAGCCCCTTCGCAGTTCCCCATCAGTCCACCAGTCGGGCCTCTGCACCCATGACCTGCCCAGCTCTGCTCCACGGCCCAGCGGTCCCTCCTCTGGCTCAGCTCCACCAGAGGCCCCACGCGAATGTTGTCCCCCCACCCAAGAGGACAACTGCTGAGCCAACCTGTAGCTGTGACCAGAGTTCTCGTGCCTCTCGGTCAGCATAGTCCTTCTCAATGAGGTCCAGCTGCGCTTGGAGCCGGTGCCGGGTGAAGAAGGTTGGCCAGTCGTCCTGCCACTCATTCACCTGGGTGACGAGAGAAAGGGAGCTGGTGCTGCGGCTGGTGGTCCAGAACAATGACACCCAGAATGCGCCTAACCCTCAGACCAACCACTAAAAACACACGGCCAACAAAGAGAAGATGAAATCATTAAAAATACTCAGTTAATCCAAAAGAGGGTAAATAAAGAAGGAAAGGATCACAAACAACAGACAGGACAAATAAAAAACAGCAAGGTGACAGATCCAAACCTAACCGTATCCATCAGCACAGTAAATGCAAAGGGTCTAGATACCCCACTTAAATGACAAGATGGACAAGCTGGAAAAATGAAGCAAGACCCAAGTGTATGCTGTGTACACAAAATGCACTTCATATATAAAAGCAGAATTAGGTTAAAAGGTTGGAAAAGATGTACCACGCTGACACTAGTCAACAGACGGCGGGAGCGGCTATATTAGTGTCAGACAAAGATGGCAGAGCAAAGACTGTCACCAAGTACAGGGGAAAGAGAGTCATTGCACAATGAAAACGGAGTCCACGGATGAGGACGTAACAACCCAAGTATTTCTGCCCCTAACATCTGACACACAAGCACACGAATAGATGCCCCACGTCGTTAGCCAGCGGGGGCGACAGAGCTTCCACCAGGTACCGCTTCGCACACCCAGAATTTACAGAAGCGGAAAACACCAAGTGTGGCGAGGGTGGGGAGGAACCGGAGCGCGCGCTGCCGGAGGGAACGTGCGCGGCACCGCCACCTCGGAAGGTATTCGGGCGCTTTCTTAAAAAGTTAAATACGAACCTACCACAGGGCCTTGTCGTTTCCCTCCCAAGTATTTACCCAGGACAGATGGAAGCGCGCGTCCACACAGACTCCCGCACACGAAGGCTCATAGAAGCTTTATTTGTGAAGCAACCCAGACGTCCATCAACAGGCGAACAGATAAAGCAGACTGTGGTGTGTCCATGCAGTCTGTCTGTCCGTACTGGACTGAGGACACACGTGACATCACGGCTGAACATCGACACAGTGACGCTGAGCAAAGGAAGCCAGACCAGGAGAGTGCACAGTGTGATTCCACTTGTACCAAATGCCCCAAATGCAAACTCACAGTGGCAGGAAGCTGGGCAGTGGCTGCCAGGGTCGAGGGTGGGGCAGGAGGGAGAAATTACAAAAGGGCACGATGGCCCCTTCGGGGTGACAGACACACTCACTGTCCTGTTACTGGAGCATACACATGTCAAAACTTACCAAAGTGTATACTTTAATTAGGTGTGGTTGTTTCCTGCCAATTTTACATCAATGGAGATTTTTTTAAAGACATAAAGCTTATTATTTGAAGTGTCACTCTGAGCAACTCCCAGGGAGGAACTTTCCAGAGAGCAGGCCTGCCCTCCGTGGTCAGCATCCTCCACATGGGGAACCCCCATGCTGGGTGCTGTGACCGCTTGTCTCTAAGCTCACACTCCTGGTGCCACGTGCGCCTCGCAAGCAGGTGGGAGGCCCCTCCCCAGACAGCCGCAGGGACACATGGTAGCAAGCCCTTGTTCCCCACCTGGCTGTTGCATAGGGTTGCTATGGCAACTGGGCAAGTTGAGCCCAATAAAGCACTTAGAATGGTGCCTAGGGAGAAGCCGAGCTTGTCGTGAGACCGGCCAGTGGTCCCACTGGGGCTCAGTGCGCTTGGTGTCTGAGAAGCCCAGTACTCAGCGTCATGCCACCAACAGCTGTCACTCCCAAGGAGCAGTGAGCCTCCTGGGAGCCGGGGCTACATCCAGGGCCACCTTGTCATAGCACAGGGAGGTGGACCAGGTGTCCACCCAGGTCCCTCGCCCCCTCCTGGCCGGCTGCAGGCTATCCAAGTTGGCTCGTTGATCCTGGATTCTGAGGGGACACCCGAGAGACGCCCATGTCCCTCGTGGACCAACCCGTTCCACCTGCTTCGCACACACACTGGGGTTTTGTGTATGGCTTCGTTCCTCGGTTCTTGAAAAGCCACTGTGTGAGGCCAACCACAGCTCTTAAACTTGACATCTGAAGCAGGACAACAAGCCTCGCTCAGCCACGCTTGCCAGACACTGCTGTGACTGCGCTGGGCACCGGCTCGACACAGGTGTGCAGCCACTGACGGAGCTGGCTCCCACAGAGACTTAGAGGGTCTTAGCAAGCCCGCCCGTGAGGCTGCCCCCGGCTGGGATCCCTCAGTCTGCCTCCAACTTGCCGCAAGGACCCTGATCTGGGAGCACCGCCCTGAGCCCACACCTCAGAGACACAAAAGGCTCTCAAGTGTGGGAATCCCACCCACATGAGCCCCGCAGAATGAGCAAGTCCATGGCGACAGAAAGAGATTGGTGGTTACCAGTGGTGGGGGCAGAGGGGTGTGGAGAGACCGCTGTGGGTATGTGGTTACTTTTGGGGATGATGAAAAAGTTCTGAAGTAAACAATGGTGACGGCTGCACGACATCGTGACTGTGCTAAAAACTCTACAGCCGTGGAGTTGGTCACGTGACGTACATCTCAAGCAGCCCAATAATCTCTCTAAAGGCCCAGAGAGGGACTGAGTGACCAGAACTTAATCCCCGAGCTCGTGTGCTGCCTCCGTCCCCCGCCCCGTTCATCACGCGCCCTCCCAAAACGGGGCCTTTGCACGTGCTGTTCCCTCTGCTCAGGGACCTCTTCCACCTGCCCCACGGCTTCCCACCCCTCCGGGCACAGCTCCGCATCCCAGGTACCACAGCTCACCCTCTGCTTTCAGAAATCAGGGGTTAATCTTCCTGGCGCCCGAGGGAGGGCATACTGTCACACCAGGGCCTCGGGTCATCGGCTAAGCGAGGGCACCCTCACCCAGCACTCACCTGCGGGATGAAGCCGCAGCACGTCACCGTGTGGAAGCCGAACTTAGCCACGTGCTGGGGCACGGCTCCCTCGGCCCTCCGCCCTGCCAACAGAAAGAGCGGTGTCCTCCTCGGTGGCTTGGCCTCGGCGCTAGAACAGGGGTGGTCTGGGGCTGTGCCGGCCGGGCTAGCCACGAGGCAAGGTGTGGATCAGCCGGGACACTCCCGCCTCGGGCACGCTGGACACAGAGCTGGACCTAAAGGGGCACGAGCCAGTCCCACTTTCCTCTCAGCTCCAGCAAAACTCATCCTTAGCAGCCTGGGTCTCACGCGGCACTGCGAAGGGAGAGGTTTGCAATCCGACCACCATCCACACGGCGCCCCAAACGCCCGCTCGGGGGTGTGCGCCTGGCTCGAGGGCGCACGGAAGTGACCTGCACGCACCCACTGTGCTCTCCTGCTCCCTCAACTTGTCCCTGAGCTTCTGGTTGTGAAGGTGCAACTCCGCCACCTGGTCTCCCAGCTTGGACGCCTGGCTGGGGAAGAAAGAAAAGCAGCCCATTAAAGGAAGAAGCAGCAGCTACCAGCTAGCACGGTCCGGTTTTAGAAATGTTTTAAATCCCTAAAAAACTCTCTCTGCTCTAAGAGGAAAAAAGTGAAAAACAAACGGTAGGCAATAACCTTTCCCTGAAAATAAAATGGTGTAAAAGCACCAAGAGCAGGTAAGCAGGGCTCTGACAGGAGCCTGACGAACGCCGAGAATTAGAGGGCCAGCTCTTGGCGAAACGCCGAGGAAAACTCCAGCTCCTGGTTTTTTGGAAAAACAAATGTAAATCACATATAAGAAAGGGGGTGGGGGTTGGGGTGGAACAAAGAGGGTGGAGGGTGACAGAAGCAGACTAGGCTTTGGGGGGTGAGCACACAGTGGGGTGTGCGGGTGCCCTGTTACCCAGCCGTGTACCTGAACCGGCATCGGCCCAAAAAAATTAATAAGAAATTCTTAAAAGACCAGGCTGACAGTCGTACACTACAGTGTCGTCCGCGGCAAGTCCCTGCTGGTGTCATGTATTCTTTACGTGAGTTTGTATTTTCCACCTTTTTTTTTTTTACAACGAATATGTATAACTTTAGCGATTAGGAAAAATGGTGGGCCTCAGATGATGCTAGAGCAGACCTCACGCTGCCCAGGCTGAGCGGGCATGAGCAAGGGGACATTCAAACACGCTTGCTTGGTGCGGCTTCAATGGAGCCAGGCCAGCCCAAAACCAGACCCACGGCAGAAACGAAGAACTTCTCACCATTGAGGATGGCGGGTAGGGTCCCTGCCTCTGGTGACTGGACTGAGCTATGGAGGCAGCTCTGCAAGCGGCTGCACCCCACCCTACACCTCACCCCACACGCACGCTCTCACCTGCTCAAGCTCCTCATCTTCAGGTGCTCCATCACAAAGGCGGCCCCCCCTCCCGGCAAGTCGATGACCTTGATGGGCCGAGGGGCCCGTACCGTGCCGGTGCTCCGGAGGGCCTGCAGGCTCGCCACCTCCCCCTCGAACATCTGCCGGGCCTGCGTCCAGAACAGCGCCGTGAGCTCTGACCCCAGCAGGGGCCCCTGCAGCCGGGCTGTGCCTCGCAGCTCCGGACAGAAGCCGCGGCGTGGGATCACGGGCACACAGGACCATCAGTCACTGAGAGCTGGCTGGGAGCGAGGCACCCGCCCCGCAGAGAGCAAGTGCATGTGGCCCCTTAGGACAGAGCGGGGCTGCAAGGGGGAGGCCGAGCTGGGGCTCTGGGTGGGCAGGATGTTGATGCCACCGCGGGGAACACTTGCTTTGAGAGGTGAGGAGGTTCTGGGGTGCTGGGGGTACTGTGGGTACTGTGGGATGCCAGGGAGTGCCAGTGGGGTGCCTCGGGGCTCAGGTTCTTGGGGGCCTGGGTCCCCTTCTGGGTTGCCCACCCTCCTCACTGCCTCCAGCAATCGCAGCAAAAGGAGGAGTAGCATAGGGTGTCCCGGGGTGGCCCAGGGTGGCCCACCACAGTGACGGGCAGGGGGAGGCAGGGGCGAGGTCGGCTGGGCCTAGCCTCCAGTGCAGGGACCCCCAGAGAGGAGCACCCAGCAAGGCCTGGGGGCTAGTTCAGAGCTGTGCACCCCGCCCAGAAAGAAGACAGCCCCCCAACATGTTAGGACGGCCTCCACTGGAACCCAGGAGCTTCCTATTCCTAAAACACTCCCCCGGATCTCCACCGTTAGGTTAGGTGGACTCTCACATTAGGGACACGCGACCGCAGTTAAGTGTGCTTACTGATTCGATTTGTGTCACCTCCAGCTACAGAATCCAGTCTCCCAGGCCAGGCCACGTCTACTCCCGCCCAGCAAAAGAATTCAGGCTTCAATTCAGGGTGCCCACAGGGGAGCGGAGCTGAGCATCCTGAATCAGTCAGGGAGTGGGGGTGACCAGGTCCCCAAGGCCGCGCTGGTCACCTGCTCTGAGCAATCACTGAGCACCTGATATGTGCCAGCAGTGAATGCTGAGGCCTCAGCCTGGGGAAGCTTTTGGGGTCTAGCTGTGAAGGTCCAAGGCCAGGATAACCCTGAACCCTGACCCTAAAACCACTTCCCCGAGGGTGAGCCTGAGAGGCTCAGGTGCTGCAGTCAGACTCAAGGGTCCTGGCACCCACAGAGCCAGGTGCTGAGCCCGTCCCAGCCCTTGTCCATTCCAGACATGGACAGTGCTGCGGGGATTGGGAGGAGTCTCTCTGGGTTCCCTCCAGCCCACAGCCAGCACTCCCAGCGCCATGCACCCCTCGGGAACCAGGTGGCCCTCCGCGGCCTGCTGGGGCCTGGGCACACAGCATGGCCATTCCACTCATGAAGAGGAACCAGGGCCTGGCCTCCTTCCTGCCTCTTCCCACTTGCTGAGGAGGGTCGAGAAGCTGAGCAAAACCCAAGGCCAGCGGCAGAAGCAGCCCAGGACTCCCAGCCCCCGCCTTCCATGCTTGACAGGTGGGGAAGTTAAACCAAACAACCGAAAACTGCGCAAACTGCGCAAATTGCGCAGGCAGGCAAAAAAAAAACAAAAAACAAAAAAACAAAAAAACAAAACAAAAAACGCAAATCAGTTCTGCCGCTGAGGAAACCCGGATCCCGCAGGCAATGCTGAACCCTGCTCGCCATGCAGGTGTCAGCTCCAAGGCTGACCCTGGGCAGTGACGCCAGGCCCGGCCCAAGAAGGGGCCACCTTCGACCCCTATCCCCACCCCGCTCCCCCGCGCCCCTCCCGCCGGCGCCCCTCCCCCTCATCCACCCTTCTCCCGCTCCGTCCGCCCCCTCCCCTCTCGCCTCTCCTCACTCTCTCCCCTCCCCCTTCCAACCCCTTCCTTCCCTCCAGCCCCCGCACCTGCGTCCTGCGGTTGACCTTGACGAACACGGGCCCCGAGTCCGTGTCGTAGGCGTGCCCCTCGCTGATGCAGCCTGCGCCGGGGCTCCCGAAGGCGCGCAGGGTCGAGGTGCGCAGCTCCGCCCGCAGCAGCTGTTCCATGGGGGCAGGGGATACGGGGACACACGGGGACGCACAGTGAGCAGGGGGACTAGAGGGCTCCTGGGAGGGACCCGGAGATGGCGCAGACCGCCCTGCCAGGCACGCAAGCTCGCGGTCGCCCAGGCCGCTGTCTGCCGGGGAGGTGTCTAATCCCCGCTGCCTGCGGGCTCTGAGCGCTCCTGGCGTCCCGCCTCCCAGGTCCCGCCTCCCAGGCCCCGCCTGCCGGCCAGGCCCAGCCCCCGGCCGCCCTCTCCTGGGAGCGGGGCAGTCAGGCCAGGCACGCGGGAAAGGCCAGCCAGAAAGAAGGCAGGGGGCAGAAGCGGGGGCGGTGCCCTCCCCACATGTCCACACAGTGTGCCAGGCAGTGCAGGCGAGGTCCATGCACTGGGAGGCGCACAGGGCCCTATAGGGCCTGATCTCTCTGCACAGAGGTTCCCTGAACCCTCACAGGACCTGGGCCCAACTCCTCCCACCCAGCAGGGCACAGGACACAGCCCAGGAGAGACCTGGCTGTCCCTGGGACACAGGTCATGGGCCTGGCTAGTTCTCACACTGATCAGACAAGGCTGGGGGTTCTTAACCCCATCCTGCCAGACCCAGGCACCACCCAGGGACACCCATTGCTGGCCTTGGGTTTGCCCAGCAGAGAGAGGCTGCTCTGGGCCTTCTGATAGCAGGCGGCTGACCCCACCCAGGGGGAGTGGGGCTCCTGATTAGAGAAGGCCACCCTGTGAGGGCCCTTCAGAGCACACAGGCATACGCATACACTCCAGGGCACCCCGAGGAGCAGGTGCAGGAAGGGCCCCCCAGCTGTCCTCTAGTGCATGCTGAGGAAGCCCACTGAGGGTGGAGGGGTTTGGAGCCATCTCGATTCTTAGTCTCGGTGTGGAGACTGTTCTCTCTGGAGGCCTTCCCATCTGCTCTGTGTCACCAGGACCTGACAGTTCCCCAGGGAGGTGCCTGGGGTGAGCGTCTGCTGTCCCCTGAGCAGGACAGACAGCCGCGTCAGGATGGCACTCGGGTCCTCCAGCCCCGACGCTGCCTTCAGCCCGTTATGATTTCCTGCCTCTGCTTTCTCTCTCTCTCTCTCACCCAAATCTTTGGTGTAGAGTTGGTCCCACAGCTACCAGGGTCAGCCACCCAGGGCCTGGCCTTGCTGCCCTCTCCCGGCACCCAGGGGAGACGCTGGTCATGATGAAGCCTCCTTCTCGTTTGCCCAGGCAGGGTCTGAACATGGCGGTGGCGGCCAGGAGGTAGCACACGGGCCCCCCCGGGCCTCCCAGCTCCATGCTGAGTGGCCCTGGGTTGGGACTGAACACAGACCCCTCAGCAGGGACCTGCACCAGAGCACCTCCACTGCTGACCCGCCCACCGTCCTCCCGAGCCTGCCCTGGAGTTTGGATCTGTGGTCAGAAACCCAATGGGGAGATGTGACTTGGGCACATTCAAGCAGCCTCATGAGCTGAGTCCCCTTCCCACAGCAGCCAGACTCCTGAGCCTCCAGGTCTCCTAGAAGGAGCGAAGGGAGCCTCTCAGCCTGCCTGGGGCCCGGCAGGAGTCCTGGGCACGGTGTGTGTGGGGGGGTGGGGCGCATCCAGGTGGGAGAACAGCCCAAGGTACCAATGGGGTCGCTGTGCATAAGAGTCTCTCAGGCTTACCCTGACCATGAAGACGGAGTCCAGTGGCATGGGAAGGAAAACACGGCCCACAGCTGGGAAATGTCACCCCGTGTGCGGGAGCCTCAGGGGAGACTCAGGAAAGCAGCACCAGGGAGGCAGCCAGGGGCACGGGCCCCGCGGCCATCACAGTCGTCCATCTGTCAGCCGGACAGCCAGGGAGGGCCCAGTCCCGGGCCTGGGCAGCAAGCAGCCTGGAGCCAGCAGGGGCCGGCAGTCGCTGTCCAGGTGTCATCGCTGTCCAGGTGTCAATGCCTGTTTCCCACTCCACCATCGTCCAGCCTCCACCGGAATTGCACTGAGACCACGCCCCTCAGGCCGATGGCTCTTTTAATTTTCCGAGAAACGAAGAGCTTTAATATTCAGACCACCAGACAAAAGGTCACAGCACATCTGATAAAAACCCAGAGGAAGTGAGATGGACACTGGGGGAAGGAGGACAAATAGCGGGAAGTTCAACCCGGCAGGCAGGGAGCATGCGTGGCGGGACGGAACGGGCACCGCCACCCGGGGACAAGCGTAGGAGAGGGGCAGGCGTGGTCCACTCCAGCTTCCGCCTCCTCAGAAGCCACGGAGACGCCTGAGTCCATAAACCAAGTTCTCCGAGGCTTTTCGAGAAACAGGATTTGCTTTGCAAGGTAAATGGGGAGGAGGTCCCATGACTTTCCAGGGAGGGGAATTCAGCCGCCTCTTCGGAATTCAGAGATGGCTGTCATCCGGCAGCTGCCACCACTCCGATTGCTGTTTCCAAATACGTCCCGATGTATCCACACACTTCTGCCCGAGGGAAACCCAGGCAGGGAGGCAACTTCCCGTGCCAGCTCTTGGGAGAACATGGGGAGCGCAGAGGCTGAGCCCCTCAGGTGGGAAGACCGCAGTGAGCGCTGAGAAGCGCTGGCAGCCGCTCCTGCCCGGAACTTAGTCTTCTGCAGCCCCCGGGTGCTGCCACCAGCCCACTCTGTAAATTACGGAGTCTTAGGGGCCTCCGACCCCAAGTGCGTGGTCTCTGTCGCACCGGAGGTGGGGGGCTGCGAGGCCTCTGGGGGGACTGCTCCAGTCCCTGAGCCCTGCCATCGCCGCAGACACGCACGTCCCGTGTGGCGCAGTGGTAGAATGTGCGGCTTCCTTCCCGCCCGCAGCACAGCGGTATCTCCTTCCGGGCGTTCGTGTTCGGGGCACTGCGGTGAATCAAAGCTCTTTCCAAACTTGCATTTTCCTCCCTTAGTTTGGCTGTAATTAGTCAGGTTCCCTCTGAATCCTGAAGTCTGCCGAACACTGATCCTAAGTTCACAAGTGTCCCTCCCACACTGCCCTGCAGACCTCGGCCTCGACAGACAGCAGGGTGCGGGAGGCGTCCACGGCCACCAGCACCCCTCCACATGGGGGCTGAGCGCAGCAAGACCGGCCCTCTCGGAACCCCAGCTTTTTATATCGGGGGTGGGGGCACCCGCCAGCATTGAAAGTTTCCTTTCAGTTGTCCAAGCCCATGTTTTTAGGATGTCTCAAGATGCACACTCTGCTCCCAAGAGAGCCTCTAGGCCTCGCCCTCACGCTGTCCTAGGCTGGCCATCTGAGCTCCTGGTATTTCATAAGCAGCAAGCGAGGTTGGAGGGAGGGAAAAGTGAGCAGACATGGGCACGAAGGGAAATGGGTAAGAGAGACAGAGGGGTGTCATGGGAAGTTTAATACCGTTGATGCGCCATGCGCTGAAGAGGGGGATCACTCAGCAGCCCGCACCCAAGACCCCAGAAAGGGCAATACCTGGGCGGGGAGCAGTGCTAGTGAGTGGACAGCGGAGACTCAGAGTTCACTGGCGACCTCTGTTTGAGGCAGAAAAGCCCGTTTCAGGTCCACTTTCGTGGAAAGGATACAAAATCAGTAGCTGGGTGGAGAGATAAACCTCAGTCACCCAGAGATGACTTGTGAGGGGAGGTCGACACCCTCCCAGCAGCAGAGACTGAGGCGCCCAACTCAGGTTCCCATCTTCAGTAAGGAATGAGTACAGCTGTCCCAGTGAGGGGACCTGGGGCCTGGGTGGGCGCTCGGGGCAGTGGCCATCTCCCTGGACGCCCTGCCTCTGAGGCCGCCCGCAGGGCATGGACCTCCTCCAGTTCTTCTCTGTGACCGAGAGAGCTGCACCCACAGCCCATCCCATGGGTTCGGCCACATCTCCCATTCGGTCAGGTGTGAGGACAGGCGGCAGCTAATGTCGGGGCACCGGTTCCATAACTGGTCCTTGAAATTGTGCCTCTAAGTCAGCGCACAACCCCGACACTCCCCCGGAGCCGCATAGTCAGCCCCGAAGCCCGGGAAGCAGAGGCTCACCCGCAGGTGACAGGGGCAACTGGGGGCTTTCACGGAACACGGCAACCCACAACGAGCACCCTGGTGGGTCGAGGGGCCTTTGGGCCTTAGGCTTACACAATTTTGTTATGAATATAAAATTAGGTGCAAAAGTAAATATTTTAGAATGAACAATATCAGCAGATGGTAAAGTTCAAAAAGATGACCAGTACTGCACCGTCACAAGAGCCAGGAAGCCCGGTGACAGTTTATCACTTAAGTGCCTGCCACACCTCGGTGACACTTCCCTGGGCCTCCCAGAGGGGCAGTGCTGTGACACGTCTCCCTCTGGAGAACGGAAGTGTTTTCTTAACGGTTTGGTCAGGGAAAGCTCAGGCCTCGGCTTGCAGCCCTGGTCACCTGTGCGCTGTGCAGAGAAGGGCAATTCAGGACCCTTAGGAGGCCACCTGGGGCACAGTCAGCCACTCCCCTCACCTGGCACAGCAGTGTCCTGTCACTTCCTCCAGTGACCAGGAGGCCTCACCTGCCTCACGCTCTTAGCCTACTGGGGTCCTGCGGCTGACTCCCCAGGAGACAGAAGGCACTGCTCCCCACACCACTGACTCGTGGTGCCCAAAACGCCCTTCAGGGCGTTTGCCTACCCAATGTCACATGACAGGAGTATGGAAGGAGACCCTTCTCTTGAGATCCTCCAAAGACATGTCCCACGCAGTGTCTGCCCACTGACCGAGCTGCTCCTGCCTTGCTAACCGCAGAGGAGGGGGGCCCTGAGCTGCACCCCAGATGATTCAGCTGCAGAAGTTATTCCTGTGGGGCCCTCGGGTCTGGCCCACCTGCCAAAAGCAAACGGTCCTGGAGAGCAGGTCTGTAACAATGTGCGGGAACACAGCGGCCCACGTGCCACGGTGACACAGCACTCACGGCCTCCGTCTCCTTAGAGCCAGCCATCAGTCCCCCAGCATCAGAAAAATGAGCTACAATCTCAGTGCAGGCGGCCTAGGAATGACTAGTTCGACACTCCTACAACCACCAGCTTTTGACAGTGCCCTCCCCCTCCCCGCAGAGGCCAGAGCACGGAGGAGTCAGCTGCGCTTTTGAACGCCACCAGGCGGGCATCGACCTGAGCAGAAATGAAAGAGGACAGAGAACACAGGTGGACCGCCCCGGGGACCGGTGTCCTCCCAAACACGGGGTGCCCATGGCCACCACTGGCTTCTTCCTGCAAATGTAGTTTGACAGTGGCCTTCCACCGCCTTCACTGTTCCCCAAAGTTGCCAGGGTGCCAGGGGCCGGGGCTCAAGCTGCACCAAGTCCAGTATTAGCCCTGGCTACGCCCACCCTTCTCTTGAAGCTGTCTTATTGAACAAAGCCCAGAAAAAAACTGCTCTCTCCAGAAACAACAGTTGTATCTATTTATTGTCATAATGCATTAGGAAGGTTTCTCGGCAAACAGCTAGGAAAACACTGGATTATGCTTTAAACGAGGGGCAGTCTCTGGCATCATTGCAGCCACCGGAGGTTCATGCGGAAGGTCCGTTAGCATCGATGATGCCTGTTTCCCACTCACTGCAGCCCGAGGGGTAAAACGTGGGTTTAGTGCTGGTTTTACCGGAGGCCAAGGAACACCAGCTTGGCAAGCAAGCTTTAGACGCGGCAGGGAAGGTGGGGCGTTAAGAGGAGCAATCTGATGGCTCCTAAATCCGCCAAGGACGCCCTGAGGCTGGCAGTTTGGTCACTCCCAGTTTGGTCACTCCCAGAATGGGTTCCGACCGGCTTGGCCTGAGGCTGGTCCAGAGGGGACACAGAGAGCAAAGGGAATGTGCTGATGGTGGAGCTGGCTGTGGTGAGGTGACCCTAGGGGGGAGGCTCCTGTCCAGACCCAAGCCCCCCAGCAGCCTCATCCTGAACGTCAGTCACACCTGGAGGCGGGGCAGGAGGAGCTGCACCCGTGCTGAACGGGTGAGCTCCGCAGCAGCGCTGGCACCCCGGCCACTCCCCTAACTGCAGCCAGGCTCTGTGGGTCCCCATCCCAGCTACAAGTCTCCCTCGGAAAACGCACGACTCGGGGATTAGGCGGGCAGGCGTGGGGGGCGGGGGAGGGGGGAAGGGCTTTCTTCCCGGCGAGTCCGTGCCTCCTGAGGCCTGAGGAGTTGGTCCCAAACCCCTCCGGGTGTGAGAGACCGCCGTGGGGGTCCTGGGCGGCCGGCCCTCCAGGGGACGAGCTCACCTGCTGAGTTTCTTCATGATGCTGAGGGACGAGCCCCTGTACCCAGCCCCGAAGTGGTTCCAGTGGTTCAGGTAGTGAAAGAGCTGGTACAGCTGCAGGCGCCTCTCGAAGCCCGGCGCCCGCGGCACCCGGCTGTGGTAGGCTGCGTAGAAGGAGCCGCTGAAGCCCCCGAACATGCCGGCGATCGCCAGCTCGTACTCCGAGTGGCCGTAGAAAGAGGCCGGGTCAAAAATGACGGGCCCGGAGGCATCCTCTGCCACGTTTCCTCCCCAGAGGTCCCCGTGCAGCAGCGCTGGGACGATGTCCAGGTCGCGGAACAGATCGGGGATCTTCAGCTGCAGGGAGGGGCGCGGCCTCAGCAGAGCGGAGGGAGACAGACGCCCCGCTCCCAGCGGCGCCCGGGCGCCAAGAGCGCGCAGAGCATATGCGCGCGGACACGGCCCAGGCAGGGACGCCAAGCACCACCCTCAGCACCGTCCCCACCCACCTCCTGTGCAGACCCACGCCCAAGTGGCCGCACCTGCGGTGGCGCCTCCCCCTGGGCACAGCGGGGCTCCCCTCACCTGCAGAGCAGACCAGAGCTCCAGGGCTTCCCGGTCCCCAGACCCCTTCGCCACCATGTCCATCTGGGGCTGAATACGCTGCTGGGTGTAGAATGCCACCCAGTCCTTCTGCCAGTCATTCACCTGCACGGGCGCCAGCAAAGGAGAACGCTGAGCTCAGAGGCCACCCAGAGCGGAAGGAGGCGCCCGTGGGCAAAGGGCTGTTGCTAGAGGGGCAGCCGCAGAGACAGGCGTGGGAGGGTGGAAGCTGGCTGGGAGGTGTGGGGCCTCCGCAGGGGGTCCCCAGACCCACCCTCGCCCAGTGCAGAGCATTGGGGTCCACTCTGAAGAGCAGGAGGACGGTTCCTTTAGTCCAGATTCACACGGGGGCACAGAGGCCCAGACGACTGGCCCTCCCGAGCCCTGTGGCTCACCTCTGACCACCCCCAGCCACACACGCCCCCCAAGCTGCCGCACTGCCCGACAGAGAGCAGTAAAGTGACAAGGTGCTTGGAGCCCGTTCACAAACACCCCCAAGAGGTGCTGGCCATCCCAGAGGGAAGCGAGGCAGACATGCAGCAGTAGGGCAGCACAAGGGGCAGAGTGTGATGACAAATGACAGGCCAGCGAGTTACAGGCGAGTGAGGAGGGAGCAGAGCCAGCTGAAACACCCCCAGCGCGACACAGAGCAGGAGGCCCCGCTGTCGGCCACCACCGCCCCGAGCAGCTTCCTGGACGACCTCCTTCAGGACCGGAGCAGTGTCCACTGTGCCCCCACGCCGACCAGGAAGTCCCAGAAGTGTTCTCAAATACGCAGTGGCCCCCTTCTGAGAAGCCACCCACCTTTCCCCTGAGCGCAGGGCCACCACCCTCCCCACTCGGCCTTTGCTGGCGCCAATCAGAATCCCAGCTGGAATTCCCGGGCGAGCCCACCTTAAAATCATGACATAATCATAATCATAATCATAGTCTCTCTCTATCATGCTATCTCTGAGCTTACTATTCAAAACATTTCTGAAATTCCTAATTTAGGTGCCTTGAAATGCAGCGTCCTAACTTGTTTCCCAGAGCTTATCTAGCGTATGAAGTGAGTAAACCTCAAGACAACCTCTTAAAAGTTAGCAAAGGGAAAAGCAAAGTTCACAGCTTTCCCCAGATGTTTCTGAGCAGCTGACCTGATTCGGAAATGGAGGCAAAATGCTGGCGTCACTCACCTGGGGGAGGTACCCACAGCACGTCACCACATCGAACCCAAACTGGTCCACGAAGGGCCGCCCGGCCTGCCCGCCTCCTCTCCCTTGAAAGCAAACAGGAAACAAGAAAGACGACCAATTCCCTTGCTCCCTGGGGCCCCGCTCTCCCAGCTCAGAGCAGCACGGGCCTGACGTCCCATGCCCTTCTCCACCACGGGTCCCGATCCAGACACAAACAGGGTCCCTGGTCTCCATGGACACTAAAGACCCGGGAACAGAGCCAGCTCTGTCCGACTGAACAACCAAAGATACCCACGACTCTCTAGGACACTCAGGGGGACAATGCTGTGTCCGCAAGTGAAGAAGTCCCTCATGGCCCATCAGGATAGGGTGGCCTTCAGTGGCCAGCGTAGCACGTGCCATTTGTGAAAGACAAACTGCTATGCCTTGTCATGGTCTCCTGCTGGCAGCTCCCCAAACACAGCAAATCCTAAAAAACTGAGCTGCCTGTGGCTTGGAAGGGCAGGACAGTTTGACTAGCAGGACCTGTTCCTTACAGAGGGTTCTCACAGGACTGGAGTCCGATGGGACCTGCCCGTCTAGCACAGGAGTATCACAGGACGGGCTCCGGAACCCAGCACAGCAGATTCTCGGCCATCTGTTTCTGGTGTCAGCCACTCTGCTGAGCAGAGTGACCACATCGGCTGCACGTGGGTTATCAGATGTCATGGGATGAAAATACTGGAAGAGACTCTTGGAGCTGACATCACATGAAGCTCTAAGAAGGCTGGATGTGAGTGCCGTCCTGAGCCCCGTGTCCTGTCTGTCTCAGAAAGGTGCCGTGCAGAAAGCCAGAGGAACCCTGACAGCTTCTGGGGAGACGTAAAGGGAACCACAATATGATGGGGTTTGGAGACCAGGAAATAGTTCCTGTCTTTCAAGTGCATGTGTGACGCAGCACACTGTGGCATTCACTGCGTTTACTGCACCCAAACGTGTAGCCTCAAGGCTGATGTTCCTTCCCTCCAGCGTCAACACAGGTCAGACCCTCCTGTGGCTGCAGCATAACCCCGCCCACGCACCCCCCGCAACCCAAATGTCCTCCCCTCAGCAGGCCCCCCGGGCCCGCAAAATCCCATACCCACGGTGCCGGCTCCCTTCTGCAGCGCCTCTCCCAGCTTCTTGTTCTCCAGGTGCAGGTCCGCGAGCCGGGCTCCGAGCTCTGCAGCGTGACTGCGAAACCAAAGGCAGCAGCTACATGTGTGGCACAAAGGCGGACACACGTCCATGTGAAAGGCCTCGGGCCACACAAAGCGTAAGGCTTCAAGGACGTAGCATCTGCTTGGTGAAGCAAGGTGAAGATGAAGGGCCCTGGCCACTAGACGGTCCCCCGGCCCCACGCGAGCCTGCGGCCCAGCCCTCTGCCGGCACCGCACCTGGAGAGACCCCTTTCCGGTTTGCCTTCATCTTGCAAAGCGCACGACACATAATGTGTGGGGTCGTGGGCTCCTTCTGTCACGTCCCTCAGAACGCTACTCCCCAAAACGAGCTTCTGGTGTGACGGAACCACTCAGAGGAGAAACAAAGCCAGCCAGAGGGGAAGGCGCCAGGCACACCTGCTCAGAGGCCGCATGTCCACGTGCTCCATCACCAGCATGCTGCCGCCTCCGGGGGCATCGAGCACCTTGATGGGTTTGGGCACCCTCACGGTGTCTGTTTTCAGGATGGCAGTTAAACTTGCCATCTCGCCTTCAAACATTCTTCTAGCCTGTCAGGGGGAAAGAGGAGGGACAGCGAGATTACTTCTGGAAAAGTTCTATGAAGACGTGTTTTCTCAAGCCTTAGTTTTAAATCGAGCCCATCCTGACCGCAGTCAGCAGACAGCTTTTTTGGCTTTTCATGGAGTGGATGACACGTCCTATACTGCACAGAACAAGGAGGATTGCACTTTCCAGCGCCGGACTAGAAACCAGCCTCTCCCTTGAGGGAGGGCAGTAGGTAGCTAACTTCCCACTGAACGCTGGGTGCAGAGCTGGATGTGTGTGTGGGCCAACAGGGACAGCACCTCAGCCACAACCCTGTCCAGCTGCCACTGTGGGACCGGCGCACCGGCCTCCCCAATTCGGACAAGGTGCGGAGCTGTGTTCCAGGGACCACAGAACAGACTGCGTGTCCTGCAGCCAGAGCGTGCGCCGAGGAGAAGTTCTGACACAGTTATACCTGGAACCAAAGTTTTACAACCGCCCCCCCACTGCCAAGGGGACCAAAGAGCCAGGATGTGGCTGGCTGTCGATTATGGTCCGTCGTCCAGTTAGACCCAGTGCTGAA